ATTCTGTTGCAACTAAGCTGGTTTCAGCTGGTATATTATTCATTATTCATGAGAAGGTCTGTACAAAGTACAAACATGCAGCCGGCTTCGGGTTTTGATTGCGGTGGTGGTGGAGTTGCCACGATATGGTCACCGCTAGTGAATGAAGTAATTGGTCAATAGGCGGTGTTCTCTGCAGTACATAGCTTAGATGTATAGCATATCTGGTAAGCATTCACCAGTGTATATACATGGTTTAGGACAATATGGTTGTTGACTACGTACTCTCCTTTTGGATCAATTGTTGATTACTCTCTCGATCAATTCCAAATTATAAATCGTTTTGGTTTCTAGACAAGACATAGCGTAAATCTAGGTTAATTCCAAATTTATGTAGCAGGAAGTTACTCCATCTATTGTTCCTACTGATCTGAGGCTCTTGTATAATATTAAAAGTTGTTAACCAAGCGTTTTGTTGTCGCTACCATGCTAGTCGGATAAAGTTTCAGCAACTTTCGTTCGAACCACCCACGTCTTACCATCCTAAGGGTTTGGCTGTGTGGATCCCATCAAATACATACCAGATCAATACAGTTAGCAAAGAACAAGTTTTCCAATAGAAAAAGTCATTTTTACCTCTCTAAACTATATTTTCCTCATCGAACCTAAAAATCAATCATTTTACATCTTTAACTCTCAAAAACATTTAAATTAACTCATGCCCATATGTTAGAAGTGGTTTTTAAGACGGTTTAATCTTTTTTGTTGAAAAATACCATAAATATTTGATAAGCTTTTTAAAAAAACCAAGAGAATTTTTTTTGAACCTCTACAAAATATGAGAAAAATCCTAGAGATTTATTGGAACACCACAAACCCAAATAAAATATTTAGAGATTGTGAAAATCTATCTAGAAACTTTCAAAAATTATAATTATTTCTAAGAAAATGAAAATATCTAGACAAATCTAAAAAATTCCCAAAACATACTAATTGATGTCCAAAAATGTTTTAAAAACTTTTCATAACAAAGATATAGGATGAAAACCAACACAGCGCCCGGACGTCCGAACTCCCGTGGCTACAGTCCGTTTCTGCTCCTGACGCCGGTGTATGCTGCTCCTATAGATGGCCAACGGGCCGGCCCGGCCCGACACGGCACAGGCCCGTGAAAGCACGGCCCGATAGGGGTTGGGCCGGCACGGCACGCCGGCCCCCCCAGGCTGTGCCTCACAGGGCCACGGGCCTGGCCTTCGGCCCAGGCACGGCCCTATGGGCCGATTTCCGTGCCGGGCCAGCCCGAGAAGCACGCCACGGCTAATGGGCCATGCCAGCCCAAGGCCCACTGAGAGAGAGAGGTGTGGAAGGGCAGGCAGGGGCAGCCGTCACGTGCCGGAGGAGAGAGGGCACCGCCAGAGGGAGGAGAAAGCGCCACCACCGGATCTCCGCCGCCAGATCCACCTGCACCAGGGAGGAGGATGCCGGATCCACCGCCGGGGACGAGCAGGGGGCCGGATCCGCCGCCGGGGACGAGGTGGGGGCTGGATCCACCGCCGGGGACGAGGTGGGGCCGGATCTGCCGCCGGGGATGAGGTGGGGGCCGGATCCATCGCCGGGGACGAGGTGGGCGCCGGATCTGCTGCCGGGGATGAGGTGGGGGACATATTTGCCGCCGGGGACGGGGTCGGGGCCAGATCCGCCATAGGGGAGGAGGTGGGGGCGGATTCGCGCCCCCACGCGAGCCACCGAGCGAGACGGGCCGCGCTCGCCGCCGTGGTTGAGCCGCGCCACCGTGGTTGGAGGGAGAGGGAGGAGGGGCGCTGCCATGGTGGGAGCGAGGAGGGTCGTGGGCGTGGTTGGAGGGAGAGGGAGGGCCACAGAGGGAGGGAGAGAGAGTGGGGGGAGGCCGGGAGGGAGAGACCGCGTGGGAGAGGGAGCAGGGGCGCCGCCATGGTGGGAGCGAGGAGGGTCGCCGGCGTGGTTGGAGGGAGAGGGAGGGCCACCGAGGGAGGGAGAGAGAGAGTGGGGGGAGGCCAGGAGGGAGAGACCACGTGGGAGCCTGGGAGGGGACTGGCGGACTGCACGGGCGAGTGAGGAGGGGGAGGGGGAGGGGACTCCACGGGCCGTCGAGGAGGGGGCAGGCCGAGGCGCTAGTGGGCCGGCTGCTCTGTAGCAGGCCATACCATGCCGGCCCACGTGCCTAGGGTAAGGCCCAGGCACGGCCTGCTCCCCCGGGCCAGGCCAGCCTAGGCCCGCTAGCCTCCGTGCCGGGCCGTGCTTGGGCCGGGCCAAAAAAACGGGTTGCGGGCCGGGCCGACGGGCTCGGGTTGCATGGCCAATTATAGCTGCTCCCAAGAAATTGCGGCCCCACTTCGCGCCTCTGTCCAAACACCCGAGCTCCCTCCGCTTGCCGCACCCGCATGCCACGTGGGGACTGTCTACGCCCCTGCCATCATCGCCCTCTGCTTTCCCGCACGTGCTGTCGAGCAGCGCTCCATCCCTCCACTCCCCCACGCGCATGCACGACGCCCAAGCAACTGCAGCAGGCGGTTGTGGCAGGGTGGGTCACATTGCAACATGTGTAACATCTCGATCTACTTTTGAAATATTCAAACGAAGCACTTGCAACATACGTACGAAACAGATGAAACACTTGCAAAACACTTGTATCTCTTGAAAACCATTGCAAATATATGCAACATCAAGATAAAACACTTGCAACATACGTGTGAAATATATGCAACATCCAGGTGAAACACTTGCAACGTACATCTAAAAACAGATGAAATATTTGGAACATACACTTGAAACATACGTGTATAGCCATTGCAACATGTGCAACATCATGTTCTACTTTTACAACATCAATATTCAGATGAAACATATGAAACACTTGAAACATAAACTTGTAACAAGCGTTGTGCAAATGTCACCTTGCTACTTGGACGAGGTACCCGAGCAGCGCGGGCACGCCGTCGAAGGAGAGCGCCGTGACGGCCAGGAGCTTCCACAAGCCGAGATTGAGGTCCCCGCAAGGGAGGTCCGCGTTGAAGAGCGCCCGGAGGAGGTTATCGTTGTCGTCCCCGGCCCGCCGAAGGCATCTGACTCGTCAACCATGCCGACGTCGAGGAGGCTCTGGAGGAGGATTCGAGGCGACGTGGCGCGGAACGGGATAGGGGCGCCGTGTGGCGCGCTGCGGCGACACAGAGTGGGACGGGCGCTCGATGCGGTGAAGCCGCGAATTTTTGTCGGTGGGGGTTCTGTCGTGGGGTAAAGATGGAGGAGAGAGCATAGAGGGAAGCAGGCCAATTGCCTGTTGGGCCCGATCGCTGCGCAGGCTCGGGAAAAGGGGCGTCCAGACGCACACGCCTGGACAAACGCCATAATCATAGCATTACCATACATTTTATGCTGAATGCATTCAAGTTGGATGCATCTCAGTGTTCTTGTTATGGAAGATTTTGAAATAGAAATGCTATACAACACAAATGTGTTTTAACAAAAAAATAACACATGGATTTTTTTTTCTCTCTCCCTCTCTCTTTCTCACTGGTGACCACCGGCGCCGGCGACCGGCGAGACCCAGGTGGAGGCCATAGTCCACGACGTGCAGCCGGCTGCTCCCCGCCACGGTGCAGCAGATGGTCATGTTAACGAACGCGAAGCCCACCCTCGGGAAGCAGCACGTGGCGTTGAACTACCGGTACGCCCTCAGGAACTCTGGGCTCTGAAGCAAGGTCGTCGTGTCCAGCGCCGCGAGCGACCTGTGCAGCACGCTCCCCGTGCCGGCGAGGCGCGCCTCTAGGGCCTCCATGAAGCAGCGCGCCAGGCGCTGCGTGGCGTCCCCCGTCGGCGACGTATTCTGCTTCGGTGATGGCGGCGGCGGCGGATCTGTGATTTGTCCTTCCATAGAAAAAAAATTGTGATATGTAATATGTGATCTGTGGAGGCTGTAGGCTGGAGGTGGAAGAAGGGTGGAGGCTGTTGAATCTTAATCCTATGGTGAAAAAAATTCATGTGTTGGTAGACAGACTCTTTTGAAAACATGTTTAGACACGATCGGAATGTTTTAAGAATTTTCCATGTTTTTTAATATATTTCTATTTTCCTAGACCTATATCTACCTTCTGAGAGCTTTTAAATATACTTTCAAGAACTCTAAATATTTTATTGGGGTTTATTGTTTCCTAATATATCTCTAGGATTTTCTTATAGGATCTTGGAAGCTTAGAGATATTATCTAGTAATGGTTAAAAAAATTTATCAAGCATTTACCAAATTTTTTACCTAAAAAATAAAATTGTCTTGAAAACCACTTCTAACCAGGCCATAGAAGTAATTTAACGGTTTTAAAGTTTTACGAGTTATAGGGGCTAAAATATTCAATTTTAGAGTTCGGGCACTAAAGTCAGACGACAGTGATATATAATTAGGTAGGTTTTCCTTTCCCAATCGAAGCAAATAGACCTTGGCCCAAGAATGGAAGCCAAGGTTTTACTTCGAGCCTAACGAGGATTAGACCTGGAACCGTCCGACGGTCCGACCAGCAGTCCAGCACGCCAATTACAATCCCAAACAGCAATGCTTGTTGGCATAATAATCTCATAATAAGGTAAGTAAGAAACAGGATCATTTTTACACCAAATCTTAGTTCTGCACTCCTACCAAACTGGTTTTGGCTACAAGACAGTGAGAAGTTACGTCATCCGAAGTTTACATACCACGAGGCAGAAACCAATGCCCTGTTCGTTTGGCTGATAAGCCATGGCTGAAAGTACCGTTGGCTGATTTATTGCGAGAGAAAAATACTGTTCGTTAGCTGAAAAAGTACGGCTTATAAGCTAAGCGAACAAGGCGCAAACCTTTCGGCCATGCGGCCACCTACAACAGCAGGTGGTCAAGTGCACAAAAGCAACATGGCAGCATATGGGCAACAAAAACCAGTCTTGCCACTACTTCCTACATCAGGCGTCAGACGACAAGCAAAAGTTTGCCCATACGTGACTGCTCGGCGGCTCCCATCATGTGTTCTCCTTGATGGCCTCATCTATGGCTTTGATATTGTCCCTCAATATCTTCCACTGCAGATGTAAATACCAACAGGAATGAAAAACTTGTTGCTTCAGTAACAAAAAAAAAGGCGAGGGAGAATTGCAATGTCATGTACTTTGCCAAGAGTTCAATAGCAGCTACAAATTATTATGATGGCATATTTGTGTGCCTTGATCTTGGCAACTCACTGCAAAGATAACAGAATAACTACTTCGGATTATGTTCCTGGATACCTGACAAATGGATATTGGTACTAATTATTATTCAGATTAATAGTGATAAATTTGTTTGACTATAGAATAGCATAGAACCATGTCCCCATGTGCTGAGAATATTGTCATGGCCATAAAAGAATAGCAATGCTTGTCAAATAAATTTTCAGAGGGCCACTTGATGGGCTACTTGATATTCCAAGTATGGCATGCAAATTTCAAATATACTAAGATCTAGATTTTCATGAAATCAAGCTTCCTGTACGCATATAAATTCTAAGAATCATACAACATATGTAAAAAAAATTGAAAACACCACTGACCTGATCTAACTGGAGTGATATACCTGGAAAGGAAAAGAAGAGATGAAATTATATTACTAATAATAAGTAGAGAATATATACCATCATCTCTAGGAAGTATTAAAGATGACGCCACATTTGAATCAAGAAAATTAATTGCTCTCCCATATGCTGATGTTCATATTGTAATAGAATTCATCCAGAAGTTAAGCATATCTAAGCTTACCATGCAATTAATACGCTTACCTTTGAAGCCATGGGCTTAAACAGAATATGTCAGCTCCAAATATGATAATTTCCAAATACACACACCATGATAATTAGAGTACTTATGCATATAAACAATCCTTACTTCATCACTTGGCTAAGTGCATGGTCTCAAATTCAAGTGATGAAGAGCAACAGCTTGTCGTCACAAACTTGCATAACAGTAACAGAAAATGTTATGTGCAGATTAAAGGCGTAGATTCTACCTCGATAAGTTCTGTACCATTACAATTTTTTTTCCAGTGCTATGTTCATTCTATTATTGGTACGTATGTTTAAAGTTCACATAATGGTCTAAATACATGGCAAAAATCGATTAAAGCTAAAATCTGTGAGCACAGAAGCAGTTAGGTTAGACGGAAGTCATTCATCCCATCTTTAATCTCTATATATAATACAATAGGGCCACGCCACCTGTTACCCCTTAACTGTTGGACTGTGCAATCAAGCGATCTGATCCGTCCAATGCAAGTCACTTCAGATCTCCTACCCGCTTTGTGGCTGACCTGAACCACCGTGAACCTTCGTGGGCCGCAAATTCCTATCCCGCTCCCCACGTCCCTGCCTGTGCCTCACCTGCTGCCGCTCCCCTGTGAGTCCACCTACTTCCCTGTGGCACAGCCACGCGTAGGGTGTGGTGTGGAACTCCGACAGTGTGGAGTCTGTGTAGAGGGCACCGAGCTGCAGAGCTCACAGCCACCCCTTGGCAAGTCATGCGATGACTAGGCGTCATGGTGACGCAGGGCGGTTGAATGGGCTCATGGAAGGTGCAGGGGACCTTGGGAAGAGTGGCAGAACAGTGGCTCTCCTTGCCGCATCATCGAGGGCAGCATCATGGCCCTCGTCACCTCGCAGCCGTTGCATTGGTCTTCTACATGAGGCTGTGAGGTGCTCTGCGTGGCCTAAGATGTCATGCAGCACGGGCACCTCAGGCAGCAGCTACAGGAGGTCCACCTGCAACGGCAGCTATCCTCTTCCTCAGCAGTGGGCTCTCCACACCACCAGAGGCAGCTCTGGGTGTGCCAGCAGCGCGCGGGCGTAGCACATATCGCGTGCACACGGCCTGTTCGACAAAATGACGCGCTGCATAGCCATGGACCAGCCTGGGCTGCAGTCCAAACAGCAACAGCTCCTGCGCCAGTCTCTTCCACTTCTCACATCTCCCTCCACCCGACCTTATCTACTGCAACTTCCCAAGCAAACAATCAATCCCTGTGAGACAGTGAGAGTAAGCGTCCATCGCCAGCATTTTTGCTGGATTCATCCTCCACTGCACTCGAAGCTGGAGGCCAAGACTACGACAAATATCTCACCAGGTAACAGGTCCTAATATCACTTGTTGTATATGTGTTTGATTGGACCTTTTACTTTTCATCTCAACATGTAGATGCAAATCATCACTCGTCCATAACTCATACATTTTTACTGATATTATCTGTTCTATGCTATGCACGAGCTCATCCAATGCATCTTCACTCCTCACTTGCCTCCCACAGCTAGGCAGCACTGGTGGAGTTGACTGTGCTGTCAAAACAGAGGTAAGAGGGTGTGCATCTGACAAACCACATTCAGCACATTCAGTTTATTTTAGGAATGTACAGAACCTAGATACAGTTATTAGTTATAGACATATAACTATTCTATTTGTAATTTTTGTGGTGAGTTCAACCAAATTCTTCTTGTCTATCCTTATCTAGTATTCCTATGTGTCTGCTGCATTAAAGTTCATATAGTAATAATTGCACGAATGTAAGTATTTCACAAATTCCGGTTGCGTGAAGTGATTGCCTACCACAGATTCTTGGTTAAACTGAGCCATCTCAAAGCACAAGCGAAGGAAAAGAATCAAGATCGAAAAAGGGTATATATCTACCACACGCTTGACAAAAATGTATATTTCCTGGGGTATCTTTTTTTCCACAACGGTCGAAACCGAATTTCATTAAGTACGTAACGAAATTACACAGTTCAGAATGTAGCGTAACAGTGAGATATGAAATACCAAAAAAGCTGTCCGTGACTCTGATCACCAAGGGATCAGCCATCAAGGACCCAACCAAACTAACCAAAACAAAATGCACCTACCCCACGGAAAGAGCAACACAGCACAATGTCAAAACCTCCCCAATACAGGCCCAAGGCCCCCTCAGCACGCAGGCTGTGACTAAGCAAAACACAACGTTCTATCCTACATAGGGAATGATCTGACATCCATCTTGCACTGCACCTGAGCCACATATGGGATGATTTCCTGGGGTATCTGATCAGATTAAGACTGATATAACATGGCATTTCTTTCCATTGGATATGGAGTTCATTATAATCTTGCATTGGTAATTAGGAATAATTTTCTAATTATATATTTTTACAGCAGAGGAGAAATTTCACAGACAACTATAGATATTGAAGAGATTAGTTGAAGTATCACTAATAGTGTCAGGTATGTTTTGTCCTAACGTGTAGCGTCTACCTGAGATTGGGTGTATGGTGAGAGCAGTCCTCCCTGAGCAAGAGGCTTTCTGCTAAGGTCTGACATTATTGATGTTCATTGTTTTGGATCCTGACAATGTTATTGCAGTAACAGCTGATGGATAAATGGGAATGGTTTTGCAAATGGTGACACCATAGATATAATTAGAGCAACAAAAGGCAAATGATGACAACATAGGCAGAATGAGAGTGACAAAAAGAAGGATCTGAACCTTTTGAAATATGAAGTAGTATGGTTCCTTTCAAGTGTTCTATTTATAATCTTCTATCCATTGCTTAAAAGGGTAAACACATATTCATCTACTGATACCCTTGATTTTAATTGCAGCTCAAGGATGAATTATTGTACTTGACCAAAGGAATTGGAACCACATGCCGCTTATACCATATCCTGGTCTTTTCTATCAAGGTACATCCACATTTTAAAAAATGTGGTTCATATATATAGAAACAAGGAACAAGTATAGGTTAGTGACTACAAGAATTGTATACTAGGCTGGTAATCCATGCGCATCACAAAGTATATGTATATCCTGGGATGGCCAGCTCAATTGTGTGCGCCGCAAAGCTGCACATGTATTTCTAGAACAAAACCAAGCGCGTCCATAGTCCAGCCCCAAACTAAATCCATCTGTGCTAGCAATGGTGCAAGATACCTTGACCTGGAGCGCTCTACTCGGATGCCAGACGCAGCCAGGGGAAAAAAGAACACCTATAGGAACAGTAGAACAGAAATGAGAGGGGCAGAAGTCGCTGGTGGTACCTTTGCGGGTGGGGAGAGTCTTGCCGTCCTTGACGTAGAATTCGCGGAGGTCGACGTAGACCCTGCCTTTCCAGCTCCTAACGGACACCTTCTTGTTCTTAGATATCTGCACGGGCGCCATCAGAATGATCCAATGGGTTAGGGTTCTAGCCCCTAGGGTTCTGTCTCGAAACAAGGTATTGGGCGCGGTCCATACCTCGGCTACGACCGTACCGTCTTCGGCGGGTTCGGAGGGTCCGTCGTCCCCGGCGGCCTGGCGCTTGGCCGCCGGCTCGCCGCCGCCGCCGAAACGCTTCTTTCCCTTCCCCCACATCTTCCTTGCTGAGACTCGACTGGAGCGAGAGCGTCTGGAACTCTGGATCTTTCGAATCGGTGCCCCTGTACCGCTTCCTGCTTCCCTAAAACGTTGACGAGGGCCCACACCTACGTAACTGCAGAAGCCTTTTGAGTTTTGAATTTTGAACTTCTTGAATGAACATGTATAGAGTTTTGAAAGATACACCCAAAGCTCCTAGTTTTAAAAAGTATGATCATACTTGCAAAAGAAAATTTTATATATCATTCCACAACAATTTTTCAAAAAAAAAAAGGCAAACTGACATTAAAAAAAAAGTAGCAAACCCCTTTAGACCTCGTTCAGTTGTGCAAGAACCATCTCCTCAAAAGATTCTTAGCTGGAATAGTTACCTGATTTGTATAGGCTTGATAAGCCGAAATGATTCCTAGGCCATTCCAAGATAACTGAATGAGGCCTTAATTTATCATTCTAATAAATTCACACTGGCTCAACTAGCTCCGACCTTGACAATCTTATTTGATGAACATGAACTCATCCAATATGTTGGGTTTGGGAAATCAACTCATTCTAGATGAGGTAATGCATCGTAAGTTTATTCCTCGAATCTATTGAAATGACCTCATTTTTCATACCAGTACTAATTATTAGTTTACGAGAAATGAGATAGTGATGGATTAACTTATCTATTCCACAAATCAAACAAAAACTAGAGAGCGAGATGATAATGGACCACTTCATTCCATAAACCAAGCACGCACTAAATTCTTCAACTGACTTGCTTCTGCTATGGATAGAAGATCGGGTACGGACTTGGGGGTGGCTGAATCAACGAGAGTGTTCTTTATGTCTGATATCCCAGCGTGTACTACCTTGTTAAGCATGACCGCCAGCATCTTAGACTCTTTAATTCCAAACCTAAGTGTTATGTACTTTGAAAATGAAAATCAGTGCACTAACAGACGGTCCGGCAAAGAGAATGGACGGTCCCACGCAGAACACGATGACACCTAGAGCACGCAGTTTATGAGATGTTCGTCCCACACCCCTCTTAGATCCACATGTCAGCACAACTTTTACCTACACAACACCATTCTCCACACCACTCAATGATTATCTCTAGCAAGAAACATAAAGGGAAAGAAGAAATGAAGGAGGAAAGGAGAAAGGAGGAGACCAAGGAGCAAGAGCCGCAAGAAGGTCCCCAAGGCCTTTCTCATTGCTAAGGTGGAGCTAAGAGAGCTCCCGACCTTGGGCGTCAAGCTCGGATTTAGAATAACTAGGATAAGGTCTAAACCCCAAACCATAAGGAAGCATTTTCTAGAGGCACACTTTCCTCTTGTGTTTGGCTCCACGGTTGGTCGTGACTTGTGAGGCATCGAGACGTACGAGTATCTGTTCCCTGTAGCTTGAGCTATATGCCCAGCCTCGCCTAGTCGCAGTTTTTTTTTTGAAAAAAAAATGATTCCTCTATTAATGCATTTTTTATAAATGGAGTTCACAGGGTAATACGTGCACGTCGCGAAGTAGAATGGCGATAGAATGAATGGATTGATGCACTCGCACCTTTGGCCAATCATCATATATACGTTCACACTATGCTTTTATTCTGCTCATTTGTAATCTGTACCTTTTAATTCATTAATAAAACTTCAGTAGGGGCTCCTTGCCCCTCCTGCTCCTAAAAAAAAATTCACACTAGCTACAGTACACACATTACAGTAATCCTCTGATAGCTTGTTCCGTGCAGGAGAGGACGGCTTGTCGGCTTCTCATGTATCAGGGGACAGGGTCTCGTGGAGCGTGGAGGTATTTGTAAGCTAGTAAACCAGCAAAATCCTTAAACACAACCCTATGCTAATTGCTAACATGAGCTCATTGGTGCCGTCCTGAGAACAGCCTTCCACATTGACACAGAAATGTTACTCCCTCCATTCTAAATTATAAATCATTCTAAGAATTTCAAAAATCTTGGAGAGTCAAATCATCTCAAGTTTAATAAGATTTGTAAAATTAAATAAGTATACTATAAAAATATAATTAATGAAAAACCTAATGATACTCAGTTGACATCATAAATGGTATTATCTTATCGTATAAATTTGATCAAACTTAAGATGCTTTGACTCTTCGAGATTTTTTGATTGACTTATAATTTGAGATGGATGAAGGACAATATATTAAGTTGGTTTGTTTAAGATGTCTCGTAGAACTCCACAATCACTGAATTTGTAAAATAATGCTCGTATATACTCACAATCCTCTCTTTCCTCAATAGTCAACAATCCTTGTGACACTGCTGAGAAGCTGCCAGTTAAAAAGGCTTCAAACGAAGCGAGCTGTGTAACTTGTTCTAACAGATTAGCTGACACTGATAAGCCGGGCCAACGAGGCAGATTAGCACATGGCTCACAGGAGTATGCACAAACACCACATGGCTTCACGACACTCGTCTTCTAGACCCCCGTATACCCTCTCCCTCTAAATATATAGTTTCACAGAGCGATGATACAGCTTTGTCACAACCGAAAAGCTCATAGATCCAGAATCCCGACATGCAAAAGGAGCAGAATCCTGAAGCGGTTACTTCTTACATGCGCTCCACCCTGGCTTAAAAGGGAGCAGACTAACTGGACTATACGGCTGTTTCTTTCCCTTTTTCTTCGCCCTCTGCACCCTTCTCTGGGTACTCCCCAACTGTGAACCGTCTCTTGTTAGCACTTAAACCTGATGTATGCAGCTGCCCTCGTTTATTGACTAGACGAGCAGCAGTTTCACGGTCAGCTTTTGCGTCGTCGTAGTCAGGCTGCACAAAGCATCCAACAGATCGTTTAGGCGTAAAAGGCAACTTATTTATGTATGGTGGCCAATGATTGCATAGGAGATAATCGGGATTATACTAGGTTAAAAAGAAAAAAATGGGCACCTTGATAGCTAACGCCTTGTCAAATGTCAGTATAGCTGAATCTGGCTCCCCAAAATTTAACTGAGCTCTACCAAGTGTAACCCAAGCCTGTAAATCATCAGATAATGCTGATGGTTACACTACTGATTAATTGGGTGACAGTATTGAGTAATTATGGCATTCTCCGAGGGATCAAGCTGGGCAGAAACTGAAAATTGAAAGAGAGCCAGTAGCATCACTGATGAAATCCCTACTAACCTCAGGCCAAAATGGATCCAGTTCTGTTGCTCCTGCGCTCCTGCAAGATAACCCCAACATGTCTTTAAATGGTTTGATTACTGTAGAAAATGGGACTGACACCACGATCATATGTACTTTGTGATAACAGGGTGGTTCTTCACACTTATGTCATCAATGTTGTATGCATGTCTACAACAAAAGTGTCAAATGTCAACTTTTGCCAGGAAAGAAACCCCATGGGTAAGTAAATTCAAGACAATGGATGGTTGGTGCTACTATAATAGTAGTAGTAGTATATCACTTAAATGGTTGGTGTTATTCCCAGTTCACGGCATTTCCTATAGCATAGCCCAGCAAGTAATTCATCCAAAAGAACAAGAGCTTACTGGTTGCTGCTGTCAGTGCACGCCATGCATCTCCCACTTCAAGTAAAACCTGAGCTTTCTGTTCATGAAGTATTGCATTATCAGGTGTCAAGATAAGTGCAGCCTCCCATTTAGCAAGTGCTTCATGGTACTTCCCTTCCTACAAAATAACAAAACAAGTTACTTCTTTCTAGTATCACATAGAAGCTGAGTATGACTGGACTGCTGAATTTTTGTACCTCACTAGCTGTCCACAAAGAGTTTTACAGGCAGCGGCAAATGCAAAAGCACATGGATAGCCAAAACTGGATATTTCAACAGTTTTTCTGTAATACCCCAAAATACGTTTTGTGTATTAGAAAGTGTAAAGTGGCAAAGGATTCATTGAGAATTTTTAATGAGTGGCAAAAAAATAAATTTTTTATACGTAGCTCGGATGGACGACCAAATGTCATAGATGCGTAGAGCTCGTCAAATGCATTCCGTTTGACTACTCATAAGAGTTATTCGGAGTTTGGACCAATAAGCTACGGTCACTAGACGTTTAAGGGGGGGGGGGATGAGAACAGTAACTCGTGTTTTGATCTCTCTTTTCCCCACTGTTTTGATGTGAAATCCATGCTAGACTTTGGTGAATTCGTTGGATTAGTGGATGGGTTTAGGGTTCTAATCTCGTAATTAAGTCATGCTGTTTTCCAGAATGTGCAGTTGTTGTTTATGTGCTGTTTACCGCTATTTTTATGTGCCCAAAAATCATAGAAAAATTATATTATGTTACTACACTTCAGCACCTTCCTTTTTGGCATAGAGATCACCTTTATAGCTCTTGTGACTTAGGAGATATGATCGTTGTTTTATGATGCATTTGTGCTGTCAGAATTCTGGACAGTATTAGATGTATTTAGTTTTATCATACCTAAATTCCAGAATCTTGTGGAATGATCTAAATGAAAGTTGTGTGGAATTTTATAGGCTTTCCAGAATGTTAAGGATCATAAAGTTTGGATACATATATCTCTAGTTATGCATGTTTTATTCAGCTGCTGGTTTTCTGATGTCAGAAAAGTTTAAGTATATTGTTGGCTTGTTTGGGATATCTTAGAGTCCTTAAAATCCAAAAGTTATAACATGAAAGTTGTAGGTAATGCTGTTTTGTATATTCTGAGGAAGTTTTATATTTTTTAGACAAGTGGTTTGTCTGCAGTAAAAATGTGAAGCAAGGTTGTTGCTGTTGATTGATTGTCTTGGTAGCTGTTTTGAGGGAAACGATGGCGCAGGTCGTAGAAGTGATTGTGTGTTATTTGTATGTTTCCATGCGTATGTTGTCTGAGGTAATGATGTTTGTACAAGTGGTGCGTCTTTGGATTGTTCATAGCTCATGTTATGGCATCGCCGTTTCGAGGCAAGTAAACGTAGCGGTGGTTTGCTACAGCTTGACATGTTATTTAATCTACCTACACATTGTCATTCATAACATTAACTAAATCAAGATAATATATCTAAGTATGAATTCACTTATCCTTTAAAGTAACATATATATGATCTTCATGTTGAATCCTTTGTCATTTGTTTATCATCATGGGGTAAGTGATATATTTTATTATTGTGGAGGTATATAACATATGTGGTAAGAATTTATCTATCATCGGAAGGTAAGTGATATGTTTTATGGTTGTGGATGTGCATGGCAGATGATGTAAGTATACTTGCAGTTGCATCATATCATTGCATCATCAGCATTGTTGTCATGAGCATATGCATCGAGACAGGTCGGTGAGAAAGTCATATAACTATTCCGGAGTGCTCTAGAGCCAGGTCGGTGAAAAAGTTATATGACTATTCCGGAGTGCTCTTGTGGATTATGTCGCCGCTTGCTGGCCGCAACCGTACCGGTACAGCATCGTACGTTGCCCGAGGAGGGGTACGATGCAGCTTCATACCTTGTTGGGTATGGAGGCAGTGGACATGCATATGCATTGCATTGCACTCTTTGAGGTTTATTTATATTGAAGTTCTATGTTGGCATAAGTGGATATGAGGATCACTGTTTTTGTTTATATGAGGAGTATTATTTTATTCATATGTGGATATCATTTATTTATTGTATATCATGTTCATTACATGTTTATGGAAATTTCAATGGGTAAACATTATTATCATGAACCTTTATTTAGTATGACATGTATTCTTCTTTATTTAAATCGATGTCTAATGAACTTGTAGTTTGAATGACATGTTCAGGCAGTTTGCTTGCTGAGATTTATTCTCACCCCTTTATCTTTCCAGGTGCATGTTTGGATGCTTGCTTGGATGCTTTGCTTGCTTGAAGTGATGGGATTAGCAGCACATCTTCAGTGTTTCACCCACAGTTAGACATAATAATGCCACTCTTGGCTTGCTGTAATAAACTTAGTTTATCTTCGTGGTGATCGTTCATGGTTTAATAAAAACATTTAAGTTTGAGCTTTACTTAATTATAGTTTTGTTCTTGTTGTTGTTTCCGCGCTTTACTTTGATGTTGGGTTTTTTGTTGCCGAGTTTTATACCCGGGAAAGAGGGAAGTGACGTTAGTGACATCTTAGGCTTTTGTGGCGCCTGGGGTGTTACATTTTCTGTGGATTTCTAAGAGAGGGTATACCCAGTTACCCACACAAGGTGGATTTCTGAGACAGACTAATTCATTTTGCGCTTTAACTCCTTATTTCAAAGACTACACGATAATTAAGAATCACTTCATGAAGTATGCAGTTATTGAATATTCTTTGGCCAAGGAAACCATGAGAAAATTGAACTCCCAAGGAGCGCGGCACAGGAACAGCACAGAACCCCACAAACACATATCAGCCGTTCAACTATGAGGGAATAACAAATTTGTGGGATTCAATCTCAAAGAAATAGAGGTACCTCGGCTAGCTTGTCTCCCTGACTCTGGAGCAAGTCAGCAGTTTCAACTGGCTTTGTTCCAGGACAGTTTGTGTTTTCATCTGCTTTTTCCTCCCTTTCAGCCTCATCATTGTCACTCTCCACTCCAAATGGTAGGCCTGGTATAGTTGATACTACCACCGACTGCTTCTTAACCTTGGAATTCTTACCCCAGGCTATCTTCATGGTGAGCTGTTTCAGAGAGAGAGAGAGAGAGACAAAGCTGAGTTTTGTATGTAGTCAAGCCACACACACAATGAAGATAATTGTATACAATACTCCCTGTGATTCCAAATGTAAGTCGTTTAGGACAGCAACATAGTCTCCAATTCGACACTTTGATTTGCATCTTTTGTAAAAATATATCATTTGAAATAATGAAAGTTATAGTGAAAGTACTTTCCATGGTGAATCTAATAACATCAAGCATATGTTGCCAATCTATGTAACTTTTCATGCATTAATGAAAGTTATAGTTAAAGAAGTCTGACCAACTAGAATCCTAAAATGACAGGAGTATGTACCTCTATCACTGATTTCAGTATCCCCGATCAGAACTGCACTTATCGACACAAAAACCATGGATACGCATTGTGTGAGCTTCAAAGACAATAGCAAACAAGTAAGACAGAATGTCTGTCTTTGTTCTTGCCAAAGCAAAAAGGGCCTCAATTAGAGACCCGGACCATGTTCCATTCGACAAAATTCCCCTCTGGCTGCGAGCCAATTGGCACGTGAGCAAGAAAAAGGCTATCACACGGTCTCACTCTCGGGGACGTTGTATGTATTTTTTATTGTAAATTTAGCAATACTTTCATGATCTCTTTGTGCCACTCCATTTTTTGAATGCCCAGCACAGAAATCCTGGGTCCACCACTGAGGGCTTCCCAGGTGCCTGTGCATTGGTTGCGGGCCTCCATTATGGCACAAGGTAGCATGTATCTCCCTTCTGCTTGGTCGGTGACGGCGCCGACTAGGGAGGAGCTGGTGATGTTCTGAGGCAACAGTGCACTACCCTTGCTTGGGTGGGTAGCTCACGTTTGTCATAGACTAGCCGAGCAGACTGGATACACGGGATGGCGCATGCACGGCAATGGCAGCAAGTGAGGGTACTGGCTGGTAGTGGCGGAACCAGGAATTGTTCAAGATTAGGGCCACTTCCCATTGGCAAAAACTAGCCATATATGTCACACATATTGAGAACTAAAATGAGGGAAAATTTTCAAATTGATATGATACTTCAGTTACATGTTTAATAGTACAATAAAATAGTTAAGAACATTAAGGCCCCGTTTGGCAGGGCTTCTCCAGCGGCTTCAGGAGCCGTTTGGAGCCGTTTTCTGCCAAACGGGGTAAAATGAAACGGCTCCACCGATGAAGCCCCTAAAAACGTGCTCTCACAAAGCTTTGGGGTGGGAAGGAGCCAAAAATATTAGCTTCTCCCGGCTCCTTCTCCAGGCCCCTAAAAACATGCTCTCACAGGGAAGCCATTTTGCCAAACGGTTTACCAAAACCGCTTCGGCTCCACCGGTGGAGCTGTTCGTGGAGCTGAAGCCAAAAAAAAAAAAATAGCTTAATGTTTCATTCAGTTGTGTGGCAGCAGCGCAAGGGAATAAGATGCCAAAGTATTGGTCTCATTCATTTTTGAATGATCTGTAATTTTAGACTGAAGATTCTAGTTTCAATTTTCAATCAAATTGAATAGATACTACAAATACAAACAGTTGGGATTGGGAATTAGGGAGTTGGCAGTAGGGAAATACCACAAATTAGAGGCCGCAGCTGGATTGGAGCAGACCAAAAGGAGTAGAACAGTGGAGGCCAGACCGCCGGATTGGAGCTGCGGACGCCGGCCTGTGCCCTGCTGGATGTGGGCAGTGGCACAAGGCGCCGCTGCTCCGGCTGCGCACTGTTCCGTTGCCGTCGGCCGGGCTGCACGAGAACGACCGTGGGGAGTAAGGAGCAGGCGAGCAGCCGAGATGGTCTGCCGAGGGCTGAGCTGAGGGCTCCAGGCCGGCGTAAGGATGAGGGATCGAACGGGGTGGGTCGGTATCGGCGTCGGAAGGAGCGAGTCGCGAACAAGTTCCCTAGTCGGTGGATTAGTTTGCTTAAACTGTCTCAAAGAAGAGCCCATACGGGCGTCAAATCTCAAATAGGGAGGAAAAAGGTCTAAAATCACACTCCAACAAAGTATATATACAGAAGATTTATTTTGGATTGTCTGAGAGACACAATCTAAATATGGACATCTTCTCTCTTAAAAACTCATTTATAGAAAGAATTTTCTTTTGAATTTTATTATTGGAGAAGATAACGAATATGTATTTAACCTTTTACCTGTAGCGCTACCAAAAGACGAATATGTCTTATATTTTAAGTGTTGTTGTCGGATATAGTCTTAGACCTGATGTTGGGCCAACAAAGTACAAGGGTACCTGGACCCCAACTAGGGCCACGACCCTAGGACCAGGTTTGCCCCTGCTATGCTGGTGAGTATGCTGCCACGACGGTGCGGCCGCATAATATTTATCGGTAATGCTTTAATCAGGATGTCTGTTGATATTTACTAACGTATATAAATAAATTCGTAAGTGCACGGATACCGCTACAGTTTTTATTTGAAAGTATTCTAAGTATCGTATCTACATAGAAACGTGTGAGACTAACTACGGTGTAACTTAACTAGGGGTAGCAACAAGGTTAGGATAAACAGGAGCATAAAGAAGATTATTAAGGTTCTCTAGTTCTGACTTATGTAAGCTATGTCTTCTACTATTCGAACATTACTTAAATAAAGACACCAGCAGACGATGTTTTCCGTAGTAACCGGGTCCTACTTAGCCTACAAACAGGAGGTGGACTATAAAAGATTCAACAAGCTATAAAAAGTCACCCTCATGAGTTACCACCGATCCGAAATGTAGGGTGTATCCACGATTAACGTAAGTCTAAGCACCACGCTTACACTTACGATTAATACTTTACTCTCTCTAGAACAGGAATAAAGTACTCAAAAGAGTCACAAACTTGATGAACAATATAAACAAGGTACTTACTTGAATCAGAAGTTGATTACCAGAGAAATCTTAGAGGCAAGCTCAGATAGAACTTGGATCCACCAAGGTACAAGCCGTAGAGAGAGCATCGACAGGCCAGCACCTTCTCCAAACTCTTCCCTCACTCTCTATCTCACTATTTTTATTTATAGGACTAGATTCTATAGAGGACTAATCTTCTATTGATTGCTGTCTCGATCATGAAGATATGAATTAGGGTTTTAGAGGATGGCTTCAAGGAGGGGGTACAGGGCTGTATATATAGGGGGTAGCGTTAATTCTGGACCCTCGGATCAAACCGATTTAAAAAGACGGCGTAGATGCAATCTTTAAGGCGGTGGAGAACCGACATCACGAGGAGAGGCTACCTTGTGGGCCCCTTGGGCCGACCGGCCTATAGGTGGGGCCGGCCGGCCTAGTGGCGCCTCGCCCTCTGCCGCGGGGTGGTATCCTCTGGTGTATTTTAGAGTCTTCTGGTGCAGGTTTCATCGCCCTTAACAGTTTTCTGAATATACCCTGCTAAAAACATAGATTCACCTAAACTTGTGGAATTTGTCAGTTTAAACTCCTAGACCTATGTTTGATGATGGAATTAAGAATATATGCATGTTATATTGATGGTTTATAATTAATATTAATGACCGTCAACAAGCTCTCCCAAGCTTACCATTTATCAGTCCCTGAGCAAAGCTAAACTCAATGATGGATTAGGAGTTGCTATAATGCTTTCACGCCTTAAAAGTACACAGACGTTTAATCAAGAAGTTTTCTCCGGATTAGAATAAACTGATCTGACTTTCAAACTTACCTATATTACCTTCAACCATAGAGCTTCTTAGCCTTCACTTGGGTCTTGAACAATTGAAAGACAGAATGATCAAGTCGAGCACTATGTCTCGAGTTCTTTATTCCAAAGTTTTTGTAAGTTTTTAAAATAAAACTCAGAGATTTCATTGTATGATATTCTCAAGTCTCTCAATACATGTGCTATTTGTGGATCATCACCAAGACAATAAAGATGTTATGTCTTTTATCTTCCTACCACTAAGGCTTATGTGGAGTTCATAGGTAGGGAAAAAGCTAGAGCATACTTGCAATGCATATATTATAAAGTCAAACAACAGATCCAAAGAGAGTTGAGTCATACAATCAAATCAAGATGTGCATATGTGTGGATGTATATGATGGATATGTATAGTGGCTAACATAATTCTATTTTGCTCCTTGAAAACATATCTCTCTTTTGAAATTTGAAAACATTTGCTAGAAAGTAAGAGCTATCTTTTTTATCTCTTCTTTTTTAGGTGGGCATCTAAGTACCCATTATTTTAGATATCTCGGACACTTGTCAATTTTTTTCTTTCTCAACTCTTTTTCTTCTTCTTCTTGTTTTTTCATGAATAACTTTTGCATAGCCCATGCCTCTTTTCTGCAATAAAAACTTTTAAGAGATAATAACAAGAACTTAGAGTATTTATTTGGTGGATGGAAAAAAACCTATCAAGCATGTTTTTGTGTTCACTCCCAGTGTAGGAGTAAAATATTTTTAGGTGGATCTAGATGGAAGGCATATTTTTGCGCCTACTCCCGGTGTAGGAGTAGTGCATATGTGGGTGGTGAGTACGTGATCTTGATTTTAAGAGTACGACAAATCTCTCATAAAGATCAACAAAGCTTGACAAAGCTCAATGCAAAAGCAACCAGTATATATGTGGAAGTTTTTCTAACCTAAATAATGTGTGACTTTGTTGGGAATTCAAGCTTTTTCATATAGGAACTCATCATGTAATATTTTTGTGTTTTTCAAAAGATAAATCTCTAGAACTTTAGTGTCACTTGGAATAAGATAAACAACAACTCAGACTTTCTCATATCATATCCGTCAATTACCTAGACTTAGATCAAGCATATGCTACCCACGAGTTTTAAGTTCAGAGTAAATCTTTATATCAATTATCAAATCAGTTTTATCCAAAATTCAGGAGAATTCAAGGCTAAAAACTAGGTACTTGAAAGGAATTACAACAGAGCAAATATTCATCATTTTCATTTAAGAGATTATTCTGAGTCATCTTTATTTTATTCAACTCTTAAAAATAAATTAAAGCAAACTAGACACACCTTTTTATTTTGTTTTTAATTTTACTAGATCACATATTATTACTATAAATGACTAATGCAAAGATAAATTTTTATTTTGTTTTTCATTCATCACTTTTTTAACTATTAAAAAGAAACTGAAAACTAAAATTAAGGGAAAGAATACTTACCTGGATACATGGGAGTGCATCTCCTCCAAGCTAGCTCTTTCGATGAGGGTTCGGTGTTGTAATTCCTTCAAACTAGACTTCTTCTCGTGAAGTTTATTAATCGAGTACCTCAGTTTGCTTTGAAGACGAGGGTTCTTGTGATGACGCCTCTAATGGTGATGTTACCTTCTTCTGCCAAGTCCGTCTTGATTTTGAGTTTGGATTTTGGTTTGACAAGTTCAGAACATTTGTAGAAATTTGGAGAATTAACTGACTCTCCCATACTTTGCTTAAAGTGTGTCCTGCTTATAAAGACAAGGTAGAGATCAAGTGCATGGGCTCTGTTGGTGGAAAAACACCAATAGAACCAAAACTTTATTCATTCTTCTCTAGCCTTAGACACATGGAACAAGATGAAGTTGATGTTATGCGCTTTGTTCAAAAGATTGAATATGAATGTAGTATTTAAGTATATTTGGCCAAAAGGGTTGAATTGCTTAACCCATGGAAGGATTGTCTATCTGTGCATAATGTATCGAATTTTACATGATTATGACTATCATCTTCTAGAGATAGGATGTGCACTTTTTAGTTTATTTTGTTAAGACTATGAGA